AGGAATGGTGGGACTGACCAGCCAGCTGCGTTGATTGCAGCAATCAACGTCACCCACTCACGATTGCCTGGCTGGATAGCCTTTGGCCTGCCTCTACTCTCTAACCCTGTCACAACAAGCTAAGTTGTGATCTTGCCTATTATAAAGCTAGCCTTGTTAAAGTTGTAGACGTGATTATCGCAGATGCTGTACTTAGCCTTTGTCTCCTCTACAAGCTTAAACCAGCTCCTAATTAGGGCTGGATCCTCACACTGGGCTCTCTGTCTATTGTACGCTCGATTGAAACGCGTCGTGAGACTGTCTGTACGCTTGACAAAGTTGCGCGGCCAGTGGACGCCTACTTGACCAGCGCCGCGCGCAGCCAGCAGCTTATCAGCCATATCACGTACAGCATCGTACGTAGGCGCAAATCCACGTGTATCCAAGTCGAGTATATGTCTGATAATCACCTGCTCCTCTAGCTTGGTGAGCTTCTTTGAGTTGGGCTGGCAATCGCGTCAGGCGCGCGTCCTAGCGCGTCAGCGTTGGAGGGTAGTTCAAGAGACTCCGTACGTATAGGCAGCAGATCTCTTAGTTGATATTTAGCGTTGATTAAGAGCTAAGATTGCAAGGTTTACATCAGCCTCATAAGAGCTGTTTTGGCCGTGGTGGGAGGGGGCCATGGTTGATTGAAGTATACACGTTGCGCAAAGTTAGTGGGGTGGCCCGCTCGCTTGTATGGCCCGCTCGCTTGTATGGCCCGCTCGCTTGTAAAACATGTTACTTCCTATGGGATACACTGTACAGTTCCTCGGCTTTTGGGAATACGGTTGAAGGCTGCAGCCTTGAGCTTATTCCAATCTTTCAAGAAGAGTCTAGTAACATGGTATTCCATGGCAGGGACGTCGGTCTGGACATTTGAGACACTACCATCTGATGTCTTGTGAAAATTTACTTTGTCTGATCTTTTCGATGGTGTTTGGAAGGACAGTTTAGATGTGATATTCGTAGTTCTTCGATGTTCTGCTCAAGGGAAGGGAGTACAGCAATTGCCAAATTCCAGGAATGCCAGTCGTGTCCTTGGGCAGGGCTGGCTAATTCCAGAAGTTAATTCTTGCTGATTTTATCCACTCTATATAGCCTGCGGACGGTGTGTGAAATGTTTCTGGCATATTTTGTGCATTTTGACCCTGCAGTTTTGCTAACAGTTTAGCTGTTATCTCCTTATTGCGATCTAACGCCTTTGTTTACTTTAGTAAGTAGTTAAGATTTAATTTGTACTTGTTGATGAAGCCCTTCTTCTTCCTAGTCTTATCATCTTCTGTGGAAGCTGAGTAGTCTCTGATCGTTGATCAAGTGTGAAGAAAGTGATCAAGTTCCTTGTTCTATCTACAGTGCTGAATGAGCAGAATATATACACTGATACTCATCCAGCTATACCCTAATTGGAGCCCTAGTCACGGCTCCAAGCTGTACCTGATTCCGCTCACCATGGCGTGGTCGATCGCCAGTGTCTGATCGGTCCAATATCCAGATGCGGATCACGTGACATGCACCCTCACCTCGATCCTTGCTGCGACATCTTCCTTATCATTATGCTGGATCTCCTAATATTCGGCGTAACAGACATTTAATTCCCCTAACTTTGGTGAGGACAGTCCCAAAATACTTGAGAAACTTCTCCTAGTTGTTGGCTTGTTTGATAGAGCTATCCGAGCTACTGCCCTTGCAATTTGTTTCCTCACACTGTAACTGGTAATTGATTGATTGATTGATTGATTGATTGATTGATTGATTGATTGATTGATTGATTGATTGATTGATTGATTGATTGATTGATTGATTGATTGATTGATTGATTGATTGATTGATTGATTGATTGATTGATTGATTAGTTTAACGTCCTGTGTAAGTTTAAGACTATATAGGACAAGAGCAGTTAGGCTGCTCTATGTAACGACGCAGGCAAGAAGAGAGATATCCAGAATAGGTGTGAATCCGCTACAAGGCATATAGGAGTGCTAGGATAATAAGAACACTAGTATATATTCTCTACACCTATAGGTCTTGTATAAAAGGATATAGAAAAACTTCTCTATAATGCCATAGTTCCTTGCTCCTTATATATAAGGGTTTAGTGGCAGTTTAGTAAGAGCTTATGCTATGCAACAAGGGCTATAGTTATAAGTTACTAGAACTGTATCCTAGTGGTATTAGGTCACTATTTGTAGCGCGTTCTTATACTACCCCCCACCTTATAGACAGATAGTCCTATATCTGCGACTTAGGTTTAAAACAGAACGTATACAGACGTAGCAAGTAAAAAGGAATTAGCAGTAGGTAACACAGACCTACTTTTGCTTTGACAGTGAGCTGTCTAACGTGCCTCACGAGCTGTTAGGTAACAAGTTAGACCTGCAGTGAGGCCTAAGGTGGGGTCTAAAACTAGCTAGTTTGTACTAGTAGATAGCGTACTATAACAAACTGCGTTTGTTCTCCCTTACTTTTTAATCCTTTAGCTGCAATATGTCTTCTATTCCTTTCTCCCACACATTAATCTACTTGTCTAGACCTCTTAGAGGTCTTAGCTAATTTAGATATTGTTTCTGGAACGCTCTTAACTTATAGGGGGCGCCTATAAAGTTAGAGGCGTTATACTAAGTAGGGTCCTAATTATAGCCTACCTACTTAACCTAATACTTCAGGGTTGCGCGATAGAGCTTGCTAGCTAGGATTTCTTCTACTTCCCACTGTACTAGTAACGACTATGCACGAAGCCCCTGGAACAAGACTATATTATACACAGCAGAGATCTCTAAACTCTCTAAAGAAGAAGAAGCAGAGCAACACAAAACGCAAATGCTACAGAGACTAGGAGACAACCTACTTGCTATCTACACAGACGCCTCCTCTATTAAGAAAGGCACAGGAATAGGAATAGGAGTTACTACTCTAGACTATAAACAGCAGGCTAAGGAGATCTACTCTACTAAATACAATATTAGCAAAGGCTAGATTGTATACAATAGAGAGCTAGAAGGCATAACAAGAGCCTTTAAGTTTGCAGCTTCTATAGCTACAGCAGGACAAGAGATCTAAATCTTTGCAGACAACTAGGCAGCTATTCTAAGGCTAAAGACCCCTTCTAATAACCCTAGACAAGCTTAGCAAATCCACTGCACAAAGGTAGTAAAGGCAATTTACAGCAAAGGTGTAATAGTTAGCCTACACTAGACTCTAGGACACCTAGATATTATAGGAAATAAAAAAGCAGACTCCTTAGCAAAACAAGCTACAAAATAACAACTAGTATCTAATACTACAAGTCTTGCAATAACAGGTATTAGGATTAAAGCTATTACAAGATAAGAGTGGCAACATAACGTGTTTTACAAGCGAGCGCCGCACTAGGCTGGCGGATGGGTAGGGTATGCTTTTTTACGTTTTGGCTTATAGCTTCTTAACTAGCAGAGATACGCTTA